CAACAATAATGCAACACAAAGTGCTCTACTAAGACACAAAGGGCATTAAAAAGATATGAAAAGAAACACATGGTCATTTTTAAAAGACATAAATAGAGTTTAAAAGAGTAAAATGAAATAGACACTGAGAAGAGTGCAGCTACAGTGCAATGCAAGATATGAATATTAATGAAATATAATATTAATATATTATAGTTTTGTATGTACAGCATTAAGAGAACCTTCAGCTGGAACAAAGGGGCCTTGCCTAAACCATGAAAAACTGCAGTTAGCATGTCTGTTGCAGGACCCCAGATGTCTGGTGCACACACAAACACTCCTCTTTTGCCACTTTCCCCGAAAACAGATGAGTTAAAAGAACTGATGTCTTCCCTCTCCCCCATCACTCTCTCGCACTCTCTCCACCCTGAATCATTAATTGTCTCCTTTTCCATGCTACAGAGCTTCTGCAGGCATTTGTCACTGTTATCTTGTTTTTAAACCTTCTACGTCCTCCTTCTCTCTAGCTTTCTAATTGAATCCACAGGAGTGAATTCCAGTGTCCAGGAGAGGAGGAAGGGGGGGGGGGTCAAAGGTTAGGTTATGACCTTTGCCCCGTGCGTAGATCCCTACTGTGCGCCGTTTCTGGATGTGTGGGCGTGTAGGTGTGCACATAAACAGTAACAAGAGCCACTCATAGTTGTTATGTATTTATGCATAAATGAACATTCCAGTGCAGTCACACTGGTTATCATGTCTATTCACGGGGAAGTTGCCATGCCTTTATGTTAATGGCCGGATATAATGTGCCTTACTTCTGTTGCCAGTTTTACCTAAAAGTCTATGTTGTCTTTTCTGTGTATTTATTTTTTTCAATTTAAAATAAAAGTGGATTTCAGAAAGCTACTCTATTTGTTCCTATCAATGTCAAACAGTTCATACCCATTTTCGGAGCACAATATCACAAAGTAGATGCTGTACACACTAAATATAACAACTATAAATCTTTCACCGTCAGGGAAACTCTTACTAAATCCCAAACTTTCTCTGTGAATCCCAAAGGCTCTCAGCAAGCACAAATACACACACACACACTCACAATGGGGCAGGGGGGTATATTGGGTGTGTGTGCGTGTGTGTGTGTGGGGGGGGGGTGTTGAAGAAAGGGGAGGAAAAGAGGAGCAGATGTTCATCAGACCCCTCCTCTCTCTCTTTAATATGTCACTAGTAATAGTAGCCTCTTATCTGAAGAAGCCTGTGTGGGGCTGTAGAGGAATGACTTCACTTATCATGAGACTTTCAATAGGCTGAGTGTGCAAGTATGTGTGTCGCTCTATATAACACACGCACACACACACACAAACCACAAATGGTGATACAATAAAATTGTTTCACTCTCTAAATTGTCTGCATTTACACACACACACTGTCGAGAATGTTGTGATTTTGGATTAGATAGCTCTCCAGTCTCCAGTCAGCCCACCTGCCTATTCTTTTCTTATATCCCCAAAGAAGCTCACAGTGTGGGGTCATAGGCGACCCCACAGTGCAGCGTCACCTCCATGAATCTCTTCTAATATCAAACACATGTTCAAACAGCAAATGCTTTCCTAACGACTTGACTCGTTATTTCACTGCAGCAAGATTATGTGACAAAGCAAGGGAATGCGTCACCGTCACACATCTGATTACATCTGCTTGATTAATCCAAAACCTGAAGATGAAACCTGTTGCAGATCCAAACTTAACGAATGATTCCTCCCTCTACTCCTTTAATGCTTTCCCCTCACTCATTTCCCGTTTCTTCTAAATAGACCCCCAATCCTGCCCCTTCATCCCTCTCCTCACCCCCATCTCTTTCCTCCTAACAAGCAAACCCAACCTATTCACTACCCTCCGTTACTTCCAACGTGTGTGTGTGTGTGTGTGTGTGTGTGTGCGCGAGGGGTAGAGTCACAGAGGGCGGGCCATTAGTTTGTTAGTTGGTTCTGCAGCTCATTGAGCTCATTGTACTCCAAAAGCCCTCCAGCCCAGCTGGACTCAACAAGAAGCAAGAACTCTCTTTCAAATCCCTCTCCTCCTTTCTCCCCTCCCCCTTCCCTCCAGACCCCCACCACCCCCTCCACTCTCAGTAATCCCCAACTCACCCAAAAAAGGATTTGTTTATATCAGTAAACTCTACTCACGGACCAAATCACTTGTTTATAAATAAAACTTGTTTACTTAACCAAATTAACGGAAGGGCCTGCTTAACTCAAGGCCCTGTTGCTGTTGACATCTTGCAAATGGCTTGTGGTTCACAGTGGTGGCCTTCATCGCAGGGTAAAAAACAAACACTCAGAGCCAACCTCTTAAGACAATGAACTAATTAGGGCAGCGTCTAACGTCTGAGTTAGCACCCAAAGGTCAGTTGCAATGTTATTAGGCCACACTTGGCATTAAATCATATGATCGGAAATGCAAATGTATCCCTGACTACGCTGAAAAAGCCCAGGGCCAACTTTTTAGTGTGCATAAAAAAACTGTTTATTTACTGATCAGATGTGGCTAGTTTCCTAAAGATGTGAGGAAGTGCAATCTGATAACAAAAGGTCACTCAAGATGCATTTGGGAGAACGGCAGTCCATCTTAATTGGATCTCGACACAGTCTGATGTAATGTGGACGATACTACATCTAAACTTTTACACTGGGAAATTGAGGGGCCGGTTTCAGAGGCAGACACAACAAATGCATGCCTGTTTTCTTAAGGGAAGATATCTTTGTGGCAGTGTTGATAGCAACAGCAGAGATTGGCGAGGGCAGAAATACGGGACAACGTGCAATGAAACTCTGAAGCAAGATTCAAACCTGGGATGTCACAAGTCCTAGACCGCTGAACCCTAACCTTTTTAGTCCCCTTTCACAAAAGATATGCAAGGAAGGACACCAATTCAGCTTCATATACACGTGACACAACTCAAAACAAGGCTGGCTGAGACAACCTTCAGGCTGTATGGAGTGGACCTATACCATTACATCATGATAGACCTGGGGGAGGGGGGATGGGGGGAGTTGAGATCCTCTGTCAAGCACACACAAACATGTCTACACACACAAACACACTCACTTAATGGGGACCACTTGGCTGAACCAAAACAAAGCTTTTCAACAGGCTTTGTTCTCGGCTGAAACTCATCTTTCCAAAGTGGCTCAGACCGATGAGCTGGATTCCAGAACTTTCAGGCTTGTTTTTGGAGAGGGGGGGGGGGGGCTCAGCATTTCAAAACAATACTGTACTATTTATTTATGTTTATTTATGTTTTGTTATTTCTTTTCTTACAGTTACATTTGATGAACAGGAGCAATAAGAGAGAGAGGGAAAACCCCAAGCTAACATCCTTAATTAACTCAAATGCTTGTCAGTAGGTTGGGAGCTCATTTAAATATTTTGCCCATCAAACTAACTCAAGGAGGTGCAAGGATTACATCTGCAATTGCTCTTCAAAGCTACAAAAATCTAATTAATTCTGATTTTCAAAGAGTGCACATTGACATCTTTAACTCAAGCTACATGGTGTTTTTATTCTAATCATACGTGTTTATCATCTCCTGCTCCAGTGGGAATCAAACCCCTATATCCAGCCACTAGAAGCAATGAACTGTGCTGAATAAAGCTGTTTCTTTCCCTGTAGCTGCAGTCCCAGAGGTGTGACATCTTCACTCCTGGCAGACCTGTGTGTGTGTGTGTGTGTGTGTGCTCGTGTGTGTGTGTGCTCTTGAAATTATATCTTTGTGAGGACCACATGTCTTGCCAGTGATGGCAGAAGAATGAGGCCTTTATTGTCAGTGCCCACCTAGACAACTTCTCTGGGCTAAGGTTTAAGGTTATAGGTTGGGTTGTGATTAGTCTAAGGTTTGAGTTTAGGGAACTCAAATCTAATCTTTGACAGTTTCAGTCCTTGCAAACATAGAGGAACAAACCTCTGTATGTGTGTGTGTGAGCCGGATTGTCAGACATCCTCATGGCTTGGCTCAGCAGTGGAATTTTTCACACATCTACCCTTACCTTTGAAATCAAAGACTTCACTCCTCCTTGTCTGTCCCATAGGGCTAGGCTGTCTCCATGCTCTTTGCTACCCATGGGTTCAGTCCTCCTGTTTTCTGCCTGTGTTCCTTTTTTGTCCTTGTGGTTGCCTTTTCTAGCGGGTGTTTGTCTGCCTAACTGTCTATTTCTTGTGGCTCCCTTTGTTTTATAACCCTTCTTCAGTTGGTGTTAGCTACTAAAAGTGGCACCTCCTCCATCCCCTCTGATAAAAACCACATGCCTTTACACAGCCATCTGGCTTAAAATAAAAATAACCATACTTATGCTCCAGCTTTAACCCAAGAAGGTGTTTTATGACATCAGGTACCAAGATTATGTTCAAATTGCATTAGGTTTAATTATTCTGATTGCAAGTATGGTATTATTTTAGCTAACATCAATATCAGACTTTAGGTTTTATCAGTGACAAGGCCTGCCCCTCTCAGAGGTTTTAACATTACAGCTGAGACAACAGTGTGACATGGTGTGTCCAGAAAAACTGACTATTTTTGGTTTTATGGTTATTATTTTTCAGCAAACTAAAAAAGCTACTTAATATTATTTTCCTGTACACCGTTACCTTTGTTGGTCAGTGCGAGCTAAAGTAATTAGCCTGTTAACTTGCATTAATTTATTTGCTTTCCATGGAGCAACTGAGAACAGTTTTTCAAAACAATGGTGTAAGTGTTGTCTGCAGAAGACACACTTTTCACCTAATATCTCACATACAGGTGGGGTGTTATATAGGCTATCTAACAAAAACTAAAAATACACCTTAACGTTAGATGTCACTTGAGCTAACTGTAGAGCTACACTCTAAAAAGAAAGAACCAAAACACGATTCCTACGATGGACGTCTTTATGTTTAGGGCATTCAAAATTGTCAGATGCTTTTCATGAAGCTGGGAAAGCTGGGTCTGATGTAAACACGTTTAGGCTGACTCACAGAGGCGTGGGAGTGGCTAACAGCAGTGTTAGGTTTTAAATCCACACGTGGTCTGGGTCTTGGGCTTGTTTAGCACCACATCCTCAACTAGAAACTTCTGACCAACTCATGCCAGCGTTGCCCACGGCTATCACTGCGGGGGCAGACGGAATCGGACGAAGCTTTTGATAACTCACCAAAATGCCATCTTACATGCTCAGCCAGTTTTCTGACCTGGAAGAGATGATGTGCAAGGTAAACGAAACGCGCAAAGAAAGTTGAGCGGAGAGTGGAGCAACAGTTGACAAAGTTAGGTCAGAGGAGGGGTTAGCTACCTAGCATCACTGCTAACTTTACGCCGTTTGCTTTCTGTATATTTTGAAGTCCTGTTTTGCGGATAGTGCTTTTGTCTTGTTTTAACAGTTCATCGCTATTAACTTAGTAGCTTTATCGAATTCCTGTCTGTTTTATTGATCTGAAAGTTAGCCAGGGCCTGAAGCTAACTTCTCACAAAGTACGGTAACTTAGTAACGTTTGTGCTGTTGAGGTTGTTGTTATGATTCATGGCAACATGGGCCCATTAACTGTCTAACGTTACTAACTAACATAACTTAGCTAACTTAACTCGGTAATTCTGTTAGTCTAAGTTAAGTTAGTTAAGGTGTTTTAGCGAGGTTTTTATTTTACCAACACTGGTACAACAGGTTACAAGTAGTTAATGTTAGTCTCCATTGCTAAATAACCGTAAGACAACGCCAACCAGTTGTATCAAAACATCCCGAAAACAACCATAGCTTACTCTTTATGCTTTAAACAAATACAACTTAATGTCAGTCTGCGTTGACGAGTAATTTGCTTGATGCTAGTACGTAAAGCATGTTGTATAACTTTAATATTTCTTTTTATTATTACGAGGGTTTTACTGTAACGTTAACGTGACTCCATGTGCTGCGTAGCAACACACTGAGCTTGTCCTTGCTTACTTTCACAATTAAATGTGCACGTATGTGTAGGATGCCGGGTTCAAACTTTCTGTTCATGTTAGTGTGGATTTAAAACATGTAGGAAAGTTTGTTGCTGGATTTTGACACTTTTCATGAGAACAGTGAGAAATATAGCTGCTGCTACTGTGTCCCACAGCTCAAATAGCATGCTTTTAAATGGCAGCAATGTAATTATTATGTTTAATTTAGCATATTGTTGTGCCCGCACCCAGTTTAGGTAAGAATGTCATAGTATTAATGTCCCCTCCACAAATACAGTACAGTAAAGCTTTAATATACTGAAACACGTTTTAAAGCATATCACTCTGCCTTGAATATTGCATAACTTAACGCATTGTTATCAATGGATCGACAGCCTATATAGATTACCAAGGAAATCCTGCCTGTTATGGCTGGCTGGGTTAAAAAACAAAACAAACCATTTTGCATTTGCATGTAACTTCTGTAGTGTTGAGTGTGGAAACAGTTGCGTCCTTGTAAATGTTATCAATAGCACAACTGTTCTTTAATTGTGTGTGTGTGTGTGTGTGTGTGTGTGTGTATATATATATATATATATATATATATATATATATATATATATATATATATATATATATATATATATATATATATATATAAAATCATAGATGGGCAAAGAAACATGTCACAGGGATATAAAAAAAAAAGTTTATCACTTGAATTTCTCGGCTAATGTGGTGTTCTGTCCTTTTTTACAGCAGTTATTGAATCTCGACTTGAGGGAGCAGAGCAGGCCGATACCATCCCTCAGTGTGGCGATGAGAACACCGGGTTATATCGGTCAGCCACGCAGCAACACATCGTTTTCCCTCTCGTCTCTCTCCCGCCTCCCCGCTGATCCTTCAGACGGCCTATTTCTGACCTCCACAGAATGGGGGCAGCAGTCAGAAAGCCCTCTGCCCTCCCAGCTTGCCAATTCTAACCAATGGGGAAAGTCGGGCTTTCTTGGCCAGCGCTCCATCAGCATGGTAGAGACGAGCAGCACCACGGCAGCAAGTCTAGGCTGGCCTGGGACTGACCTAAAGCATTCCCAAAGTGACATCAACCCCACTGCACTGAACACTAGCTCTTCCTCATCCACCTCGTCTATTTCCACCCCCTCTTCCTCATCGCGGTATAAGACTGAACTGTGTCGATCTTTCACTGAGAGCGGCCTGTGCAAGTATGGCGGGAAGTGCCAGTTTGCCCATGGGCCAGATGAGCTGCGGGATCTTAGCAGACATCCAAAATACAAAACTGAGCCGTGTCGCACGTTTCACACAGTCGGCTTCTGCCCGTACGGGACCCGCTGCCACTTTGTCCACAACAATGAGGAAGAAAGGAATCACTCCTTCTCTCGTTCCTGCTCATCTTCCTCCTCAAGCATTCCCCAACAGCCACCTTGCTCCTCCCGCTCGCACAGGCCTGCTCTTGTCAGACAGAGCTTCAGCTTTGCTGGGTTTCCCTCTGCTCCCCAGCAAGCACTTCAGCCAGCCCTTACTGCTCACCCTCTTCCTTATAGTGCCTCCTTTACACGTGCTCCGTCTGCCTCTCCACCTTCCTGCGCCGATGTTACTGACCTCCTTTCTCATGCCTTTCTAGAGATGGATTCTGCCTTCGAGGCCTCCCCTGCCAGTAGCAACCAGTACCTGCCCCCCATGGGGCAGGCCACTGCGGCAGATCCCCAGTCTCCATTCCTGCCTTCCCCCGACTCTGGCTGTTCTCCATGTGGGCGCTCTCCGACTGCCTCCCCTTCCCTGAGGCAGAGTCCCAGTTCTACTGGGGTCTTTTCAGGGCCACTTGGTGCCCGATCCCTGTCCTTCACCTCTCTGTCGGACCAGGACCAGGATGGAAGCAGCTCTGCTAGCTCTCTCAGTGGCTCGGAGTCCATCAGTGGCGTTAACGACACCAACGGCAGACGTCTGGCAGTTTTCAGTCAGCTCTCTGTTCCTGAGGATGCTACCGGGTTCTGCCTTTAGGCTTCAATGTGCTGGAACACAAACATTTGCATACATTCAGACACAGACATGCAGACTCTGGATACTCTATGTAGACATATATATATATATGCATGCATGCAGTACATAGTGCCCACACACCTGACCCCTATAAATGCACACTTAACCTGTACACACACGCACAGCCGCTGGACTGACACCTCAGACCTTCTGTGTGCCTGTGATGCTTCAGAGGAAACACAGACTTAGTGACTGACACAGAGAGCTTTTGAGAGATTAGATTCATGTGGTTAAAATGTTGCTGTTATATGAGTAAGGGTAGCCACAGTGATGTTGAAACTAAAATGCGTGTTGCCACCAAAACGTGCATATCAAAACAGAAGTTTAATAGTGTTGGAAACGTTTGATGCTTTATCAAAATAGTATGCAGAGATGGCAAATTGCGACAAAGATATTGTAATCCCGGTGTGATCGGCCTCAGTGCTACCTGTTGCTGAGTCCAACCACACTGTTTATATGACAGTTTATGTTTAGAATGTGACAAAGCCAAAGACGCCTGTTAGCAGCTCAAACATTTTGATTATGGTGGCACAAACACACAATGTGACCTATGTTTAGGAATAGTTTTTCCATTCAATTGTACACAGGATTGTGTTTTATAAGCTGGTGAATTTCGTTTTGTTTTTTCTCCCTCATAACTGTACAGTCTAAGGTCATATTTAGATCACTGGCCTCGAGCTTGAATGTTAATGTTTTTAAACAACTGAAGTGCCTGTAGTGTTATTCAGCAGGCCATGTTAAAGTGTTGAAACAAGATTTGGAGAGATGTGAGGATGGGAGTCTTTTTTTTGTTTTTGTGTTGTTGTTTTTTTGTCATGTAAGCTAGTGTGAGATTACTATAAGTGTTGTTCTTCTGTCTAGTGCATTATTGACAAACTGCCACCAGTAAAATGCCAAATGACCAACGTTAAGGAGGACGAAGGGGGACTCAGTTTGAACTTAACAAAAGAGCCAAGTGGGCTCGATCATACTTTCCCAAATCTCGTGTTCATGACGTATCTTTTAACTATGTGACTTGCCAACTGGAAAAACTGGACATGGGACATTTCTATGGGCTTCTGATATGTGTGTTGGCACAAACCGCAGGGAGAGGATAAAATCCATCAATATTTAAAATCAACGATTGACCAAAAAACAAAAACGCCATCACATTATTGTGCATCTTATTTTGTGTAAACTGATACGATCTGAACATGGCTCAAGTTGCAAGGCAGAAGTAAAGTTTAATCAAGTCATGTGACAAGTCGTTATGGTGTTCATCTGTATTTTACATTCTCAAAACATTCCCAGGAGTGGGATTTAATTCCTCCCTTGTCCACAGGCAGCACCAGTGTTACATTTTTGATGAATAGTCATGTTTGTTTTGTTGTTGTTACTCTTGACACCCACCGTATTTCATCTCTCCTCCTTATTCAGTGTTAATTCTTCCTGTTACGGCTTTGTACTCTCATGGATGTGTAGCGCCTGGTCACTCGTGAACTGTGCAGCCAGGTCCGTTGCCTTACTGAGCTAGACCCAGCGTTCTGTAGGGTTAGGGTATGTATGCTTAGTGTTATAGAAATTTTACTTGGCTGTTTTGTGTGTTTATGATGTAGTTGGTTAGAAGAACAGACACTGTGCTGTTACTGGTCTATTTAAAATTGCCTTTTCATCAACATGTTTGAAGCCTGTTTAGTGTTAAAGGTGAGACTCTTTAGTAAATTAATTTCTTTAATTTATTTTAACGTATTTATAGAGGACTTTGAGTTGTTAATGCTTGTATCAAGTTTAATATATTGCTTTTTTTTGTACGGGGAAATAAAGTTTTTGTTGTTTTTTTTAAACTGACTATTGTTTAATTTGTTTTGCTTTAAACACACTCTCAGGGGTTTTACTTATTAATCTTACACATCTTCCCAGAAACATTGTATTGAGGCACAATGAAGAAGAGGTTATCAGACACATGTATGTTTCCTTGTAGTTTCTGCCTAGTATGTATCATATTGGTTGTAGCAAATTTGCAACAATCTTCACACATTTGTGACATTTCAGATGCAAGTAGCAGGAAGGAAGGAAGCAGGAAACCAGTGAACTGTCATTTATGATTTTCATTGTAGATCACCCCCCCCCCCCCCTCCCATTGGCCCTTTACGATTGAGGTTAACTTTATCTACACACAATGTCAAAAGATGACTATGAATTCACTTAACTCAGTATCTCAGACAGGATACAAGATAGTGATGATGAAACTAATAATGAAACTCATTGTTATAGTTTATTGTTTATTATTTTTGTAGCGTGTTTGTAAGATTTTATTAGGCTAAGACATATAGAATTGTCTCTATTTAGGAACATTTGAAGTTCTGAAAACTCACTACCGGGACATGGTTTTCACTGTACAGCTTAACAGCAAAGAAATAATTAAAGATGATGCTTTATGCTGTGGGGGGAAAAACTATACAAAGCTTTCAGAACTCATTTAGTGTGACTTATTAAAATGTTTATTAGAGTATATCATGCAATTAATTTATCACAAGTTCCGCCATACAAGACTGAAACACAACATGTCCTTCATGTTTCTAAGTGAAATTGTGCTAGGGAGCAGGAAATGAATCATACGGTTGGGGCCTTTGAAACTGCTTGCTACTCCCTCTCCCTACATACTTCCACTCCGTTTGCGCGTTCATGCAGAGGGTCAGCCACATTGAGTGCCAATCCGAAAACAATGAGGGCGGAGTGGTAGTGGGTTGTTAAACCCTCAAATGCTGAGTCAGCACCGATGCTGGCTTGTTGAAGGTGTGTAACACCCTTTGCTGCACGATGGGGGAGCTTTCTTTCAATTTGCGTTCCGTGTAACTTTGCCGGTTAACATGTAGGATTTTTTATTTTGAAACTACCCTAACATTGTCAAGTCACCGTTCACAGGTTAACAACATATCCCATACGATTTATATTGAAATGTTGTATTTGTGAATGTAACATTTTTCACATAGGCTAAGTTAAAGAGGTTCAAATATAGGCCTATATGCTTTCCTTTACAATGAATATCAATCTTTTCATAAAATATTTTTTTGTAAATATGTAAAGTCATGTTCAACACGAACACAAACAAAATGAATGACAAATGCTTTCAGTTTCGTTACTGCAAAAAACACACTTTTCCTCAACATCAATCCTGAATCTTAATACCACTGTTGTTTATCTGATACGCCTATTTTAGCAGATCCTATGTATGCTGGGGAGAGAGGGTAGTTCGTCTGAAAGTTGTTGCTGTATTTGAACCCTACAGTCGGTTAGGAAGCTCTGTTTGGCCTGACTCCGACCAGAGTTCACTCTGTGTCAGAGTGGAAGTGGTGGCGAGGGTTCTAGTTTCGGAAAGGACCTTAGCCTATGGTGCCGCCTCAGTCAAGCCAAGCGCGCGGGAAGGGGGGTGCGGAGGGTGTAACAGCACCCCCTATTGACTGGGAGGAACACTGTGCAAATTACATCTGCAGACTACACAATGGGCACTACTGTTACTGAACGAGAACATAAAATACAGCAGGTTAGTGCTGAATTCAGAGGATGCACTGGTTTATATTACAGCCTAATAATTTGACGTCAGCAGCTGTTTGCACTGTTTTGTCACGATTATAGAAGTTATTGGTATAATGCTCAACCCAACTAGCCTAATTCTTTCCTCAGATCTTTAACGGTTTACTTTCATGATTAGAGAGGTTGCTGTCAGTCATTTAAAACGTTTCCAAGGGCACAGTAATATCATAGCAAATGCCGTGGGACATATATGCAGCAAAACTAAAAACTGTTGATAGTCTATAAACTTGACAGGACAGACAGAGGAAACGGAATTCAAATTTTAGCTTGTAAAAACAAACAATAGACATACTGATAGAGCTGAGGATTGATGAGGAGGACGGCCGCTTTACTCCAGACAGTTTCTCTGTATGAACCTGGACTTTGTGTGAGACCTTTTGGATGTGTAGAAGAACACAGAACATTAATTAACGTTAGATTCTGACTGATCCTATTTGCGTGTCGGGAGATTTAAATATGAAGTTAAGCTGCTGTTTCCCGTGCGTAAATGCGCACAGCGTTTTACCCTTAAACCAACCATCATTAAGACGAAGCTATGCTGGACCAGCTGTACTACCAGCGGTGTCTCCTTTTCTGAGGGTCTCATGGTTAGAGACGGCGGTGAAGTTAGTTTTAAGTTGGATATTCGACAGACATTCACCCAGGATCCGGTGACGGCTTCTTACTCAGTTCACCCAGTGTCGGCAGTATAAACGCGGTTATGCTGCGTTCCATTTACTTCGGAAGTCGGAGGTTGGAGCTGGGAATGACGTCACACCCGAGTTGACGGCGTTCCAGTGACAAGTCGGAAAACCTCGCTCAACCAGCTGATTGTTTTACTACTAGCCAGGTTAGCTATTGATACGCCGGTTGATTAAAAAAACATTGTGCAGCACTTTGTGTACGAACGTTTATATGAGTCACAAGTACACAGAAGTGCTAATAAACAGTGTAAACTACAGCACTACCCCAACTTCGTGATCCAAGATGGCTGTCGGGTAGTGATGGCAAGTTCGAATCTTTTGACAGACTCGTTCATTCAAATGTCGTTCATTAAAATGAACTAATCTTTTTTTGAGTCATTTCGTTCATTTGAACCAGGCTGGTTATTGTGGCGCTGCAGCCCTCTAGTGGGCGATTAAAAAACAGCGCCGTTCTCAAACACAGAAGGCTGCCTGACTTGCTTTATTTGACAAAGTATAATGCAAAAATTCACCTCTTGATTACTGTATATCATCATTATATAAACCCCCCTGGGCCCACAACCAAATTCAAACCATGTAAAAACCACAGAAATATGTTCAATATGTAATCACCATTACTCCGGCTAAATCCTTCCATTGGCACAATCTTTCCCGAGTATACAACCAGACCAGCCATATAAAGGCTTATGTATATAATTACTATCATTATCTCTGATGTGCTCATTCATACAGTAGCCTAATGAGTAAAATATTAATATCAGATTTGCAGTAAATATATTGAAGTAATAAGCTTGATACACTATATGAATAAACACACTCAATAAAATTCAACCAATTTAATAATAATCTGGATCAAGCCACCAAGAACTCCAGCACAGAGAGAGGAACAAAGAAATAAACACATGTAAACGCAGCAATTTGGCAGTTCTGGACGCAGAATGGGCCACATCAGGTCCGAATTCTGAGAAACACACATGAGCACATCGCTCTCAAACACGGCCAAGTTGTTCACCAGTCATGAGCTGTGAAACAACAGCACGGCTCTGTTGGTAAATAAAAAGTAAAAGTTACGTTGTGTTGTCTGGCGGACCGCATCAGCTGTTAGCTGTTTACAGAGCTAACGCTAACATTGCTACGTGGCTGTGTTTTAATGTTTTAATGACCGGGTCTGTTTGTTTTGGAGAGGAGACAACCTCTGAGGTAATTCGGCTCCCGGTAGAACCCTGCCAAGGCTCTGAAGTGGACCCAGAACAACTCTCATCAGCTGTTAGCTGTAAACACTAACAGGACTAGAGTTAAGGTGCAGCTGTGTTAAAACAACATCACTGCGCTGTAATAATGTTATGCTTTATAAAATGTCACATAATTAACAAAATAGCTATATAATGTCAGTCCAGTGACTGTTACCTGACAGCCGACCTGCCTGCCTGAATGCAAATATAAATGCTCCGTACTTGTATAGCGCCTTTCTAGTCTTTTCGACCACTCAAAGCGCTTTTACACTACATCTGCATTCACCAGTCATACACTGAGCCTAAGTGCTAAGCCGCCAGGGGCAGTTCGGGGTTCAGTATCTTGCCCAAGGACACTTCGACACGCAACTAGGGGGAGCCAGGGATTGAACCGCCAGCCTTCCGATTAACGGCCAACCCGCTCTACCTCCTGAGCCACAGCCAAATTAACGAAAGACTGAGGAGGACCCATGTGAACGGTGAACGAGTCGCTCATTCCTGCTCCACAGTATCTGTCATGTGACAAATGAACGACTCAGACCTACAGACCCACAGTTGAGAGTCCTGAACTAATCAATTCTGCTTCCTGTGCTGCCTGCTCACCACAGCTCTGTAGCCGAGCTGTCACGTGACATATGAACGACTCAAACAGACAGTTGAGAGCATGGTTGAGAGTCGTGAACTAATCAATACTGTTTCCTGTGCTGACGGAGCCCATGCAGCTGACGTGTGACGAGTGAACGTAAGAGTGAAAATGAATGAATCACTCACTGAGACAACCCGTTCCTCCCGAGTCATACACACGATAAGGTCTTATGAACGTAACATTCTTTGAACGACACAACACTACTGTCAGGGTATCAACAGTTAGTGAAAGCTGTAGTTTATACTGTTTATTAGCACTTCTGTATACCTGTGACTCATATAAATGTTCATACACAAAGTGCTGTCCAGCTGCTGTCTGTGGACGTGTTGCTACAGTGTTTAGTATGAGTAAATACCGTACAATGCGTTTTTTAAAATCAACTGGCATATCAGTAGCTAACCTGGCTAGTTGTAAACTAACAGCTGGCCGAGCGAGGTTTTCCGACTTGTTAACTGGAACGCCGTCAACTCGGGTGTGACGTCATTCCCAGCTCCGACCTGCGACTTCCGAGGTAAATGGAACGCAGCATATACTGTATACAGTCAGCGGGTTCTTCCGACTTAAGGGGGCATTCCCTTTGAAATTTTGACCTTTGAACTCGGAAATTACGACTTCCCATGTCAACTGGAACGCACCACCAGCTCACCTCCGATAGCTCGCTTTTAACCACAGGGGGTCAGCTTAGGGACCATC